AAGGAATTGATCCCAAAAGTAAATGTTCATTGAAAAAATTTTAAGAAACCGACAATGTCTCGGTACACTGGGGAAATAAAAGCTTGGTCTGTCTTCAAGTTGTCTAGCTCCTGCGAGCGTTTGGGTATTGCATCATCTTCAAAGCTTCTACTTCATCTCCTATTTTCATAAATTTTTTTAGCTGGTTCGTGACCTTCAACTATTGGCTTCAACGTCGAATCTTCTTGAGTCCAACTTGCTACCCTAGTAGATAGATGTTTGGCTTGTCTCCTTAATAGGTAGACTCTCTCACGGTACTTGATTTACATAGAGAATCTTTGAAATTCTATTGAACATAGTGAAAGGCATTGTTATGGGCATTGTTTTTCAAGAACCTTATAAAAGATCAATTATTTCAGGGATCAATACCTTTGAAGGATACATCATGTTCATGAAAAAATACAACAAAACACAAGACAAGACAAAAGGAAATCAGGTTAGTAGAAACAATACAAAAAATATTCAAGTTAGTTAAAATGATTATTTAAAGAAATGTAATCTTAGAAAAAATAATTAAATACGACTCAAATTTGAGACTGAAAAATAAAGCATACAAAGGAAATTAATAGTCCTAACCGAATGTGTTCTAGTTCTCCTAGGTTATCCACATGGCTCTAGCAGGGTAGGTTTACTAAATTTTCTACATGAAGATGGGTTCTAGCAAAGGGTTCCCAAGCCATCTTTACAATCTGCAAAGGTTGACTCCGATTCTGGCCCATTACAGACTTACGAATCAGATTCGGCTCAAGGGATCACACCGCTAAAAGCGTATCTCGGAACTGATATCCGAAAGGAAACTTAGGATGTTTTCCAGAGATACTTTATCAAACCCACACAAGCAAGCGCAATGCTTCTCATGAGGTGTGATGTTTCTCCCTACTTAGGTAAAATGGGATTGAGCTCGGGTTTAAGGCAATGATATGCAACGATCTTAAATATTCACTGAAGTGTAAGCATTAACTAGAGACAATTTTTTCCTTTTGAACTAACATAATGAACTACAAATTAAATAAGATCGAACTCAAAACTTTCGGAACCTAAATATAGGGTAACCAACTCGTGGCTCGACTATCAAGTTGTTTTAAAAATAAAAGTCGCCAGAGAAGTCTCCAAGTTGCCGACATCATTTTTTGCCCGGGCGGGGAAAGACCAGTACTGACTTTGGGTTTTTTCTTTGGAAAGAATTTTGAAATGTGAGGAGTCGGCACCAATCGTTTAAGGTGCGAATGGGGCACCATAAAAATCAAGTGATTTTAATAAAAACATTTTATTTTTATCAAAATACCAAGTTTTAAGGTTCGCAAAAATCCAGAAATCAGGTTCGAGAGTCGGTTATGCGTGGAGAAGGATTAGCACCCCCCACAAGCGCCCAAAGATTGGTACCTAGATAATTACCCTATATTTAAAATCAAAAATTTTTAGTTCGAACTTTATTTAATTTAAAAATCATTACGGATGTAGAGTTGAAAAGGGTATTCGTTTATTAATGCCAATAGCATTCGCCCCTAGTATAAATATGGGAGATTAGCTATTTTTCCTAATAATCGGACATTGTCTTAATATTTTAGAAATCATGATGCGGTTTTGAAAATGATGTCGACCTATTTCGAAAATCACCAGCAGTCACCCCCTGAGCATACTTGCGGGAGATATACTATTAATTCTCTAATAAATGAACATTGACTTTGGTTTAAAAATAAAATGTAACCAAACAATTTTTTTATTCATCCTAATTAAGCTAAGGGTAAATTAAGGCTTTCTCTATCCTAAAGTGTCAAATTATGAGAATTAAAGAATCTAAAGGCACAAACCTAGAAATGTAGTTTCTAATATTAACCCTATTTTATTTTTAATCAATTATTGATTTGAATAACCGAGATGGTCCCTTGAGCATTTAGGCGAGGGCCGACTCAAATTATTTCGTAAATTAAGAGGACTAGATTGAAATTTAGCTAAAGTAGAGGTTCTAAAATTAACTTAAATTAATTTTAATCAGTATTTCAATTCAAATAATTAAATTGAAACATCGAACAAAAGTGAGGACCAATTTAAGAATTCTCTTAATTTAATGACTAAATATAAATCGAATAATTAAAAGATTATGAACTAAATCTAAAAAAAAGTGATACATCAAGGACTAAATTAAAAGGATACAAATATTGCACGCAATTAAAATATAAAATGACTAAAATTAAAGTACTAAAAATGAAGGGTAAAAGTAAATAATAAGTAAATAAAATAGTAAATTAAAGTAATGAAATTAAGGACTGAAATTAAATAAATAAATAAAAGAGTAGAAATTTAAATGTGCATAAAATTAAAAAAAAAACAAAAATGAAAGAGAAATAAAATAAAATGTCAGCATTAATTTTTAATATTTAACTCGGACTATAAATAATGTGAGTCGTACCTCTGGGCGGGTCGACGTAAGGTCGTAAGCGATTAGTGATTAGCGGTTAGAAGTTAGGAAAGTTAGTTGTTAATAGAAGCTGGACTGTAATAATGCGGGTCGTACCCCATATCGGGTCACGCAAGGTCGTATAACAATTCAAAAAAAAAGTTTTGTGTTAGAAATTAGTAAGGTCTAGATCATAATAATGTGTGTCATACCCCGGATCGGGTCACCGCAAGATCGAATCGAATATTATAAACAATAAATAAATAAATTACAGTGGTTAGAGTGCAATAAAATAAAAGTTAATGGTTAATATGCAATAAAATGAAAGCTAGTAGTTAATTAGAAATATAAAATGCATAAATCAATGACCAAATTAAAATAAAGCAAAGTAGGGGGTCATTATAGCAATAAACAACACAAAAAGATGCATGGTGACCATAATGCAAAAACAAGGCAAAAATAGAGGAACATAAGTGTGATTTTCCCTTAAAATGATGACCAAAATATAAAAACATATTAAACCATCGATGACCTATGTGAATTTTCTCAACCTGAAATATACTAACAACCATAATTGGTAAAATAACAAAATTAGGCCATAAATATTGAAATAATTGCAAAAGAGTCACAACATGTGACTAAAACAAAAATATGTGGCAATAGTAGAGGGACCTAGAAGCAATTTGACCCTAAGCCTAATTATATTAACCCTAAAAAACTAAACTAACCTAAACCCAGCCCCCTTTCTCTCCTCATTTTCTTCCATTCCCTCTTACCATACGACCAGTAACCCCGGAGAAACCAAGAGCCCGCCGCCACCGTTGAGGACCAAAGACCTCCAAGGATGGCCACCACTCCCAACAATGGCCTCGCCTCACTTCAATCCTTCCCAACTCTAACCGGGAAGGCAACCTAAGGTAAAAAAGGAAACGACAACAATCTCTCTCTTTTCTTTGCTCGAGCGGAGACTCTCAAGCCCCAAACCACAGTGAATCAGCCACCCACACCTTCTGACAACCACCAGCGATGGTTGGGCCCTAGATTTAAACCAAATAAACCCAAAAGAAACCCTCTACGAAAACCTAAAGCCCTAATTTAAGGCCAAACCTTTAAAATTGTTAAAACCAAGAGCCAAACTGACCCCAACTCTAACTCTGACAGCGACAGCACCCCTACTCCGGTGATGAACTCAGGTAAACGACTCTCTCATCTCTACTATTTTAGTTCAAAGAAAAAGAAAAAAAATGCTAGAAATAAAAGATGAAGATGAAGGAAAAAACCTTCAGCATGCTTGTATTTGAATATGTTGGGAGCAAAAAAAAGCCCTTTTTACAACCAGTTTCCTTGGTTTTTTGTAACCCAAATTACATGTAAAATAAAGGGAAAACTAATGTTATTTCTTGCTATTGATGGAGTAAGGAGGCTGTTGATTCTTGGTAGCAGGGCAAGGTGGTGACGTGGAGTGTTGGGGATGAGTTTGGCAGTTGTTGTGGTGCACATGGCTGGCTTTGTTTGGGTTTAAAGATAATGGTAAAAAAAATGGTGATTACAATAATGAATTTTTCTCGCACCTGTGAATTATTTCGTGTGACAAGAATGTCGAATCTAACTTTTTCAGAGTTAATCTATAAGAAATGTGGTGTGATTGTGGCTTTTTTCAAGCACCAAAGTATTCGTGCTCTCATGTCATAATAGCTTGCTCACATTCCCTTTGGATTATAAACGTTATGTTGATATTGTATACCAACTTTTACAAGTATTCAAGGCATATGAATTTGAGTTTCCCCCATAGTTAGTGAAAAAGACCTAAATGAGATTCAGACTTGGCTTATAATTATATCAGATATGTTGTTATTAAGGGAGTCAAATCATCCAAAATCCACTCGAATTCATTGTAATATGGATATTCATGAGACATCAAAAGAACATAAAAAATATGTGCATTGCAGAAACCTAGGCCATAATAAAAAAATTGTTCATCTCTTTTATCATCACTTAACTGTTGACCATTACTTATGTAATTGTATTTACTAATATTTCAATGTATGTGATTTTATTTTATTTTATAATATGTGGCTTTCTTCTATTTTTTTCAATTTAGGGTTTAGTTCATGTGATTAAGATTTTGATTTTGATCTAACCTTAAACCATTTAAACAAAAAACTCTAAACCACTTTAACCTAAAAAAACTCTAAATTACTCCAACCTAAAAATCCCTAAATCACTTTAACATAAAAACTCCTAAACCATTATAACATTAAAAAACCCTAATCCGGTTAACCAACTTTAAATCGGTATCAAAAAGAGCATGCACCACAACGCGCCTTCAAAGACGCCTCCATTGAAACGAGCCTTCCACCGTGGTGTCACATCGGCAAAAACCCGTGGAAAGCGTCCCCTGCAACGCTTCTTTCCTCCACCTCAGCAAGGTGCATTTCACACAATTCGCCTCCGTCTTAATACGTCAGAAAGGGTGCTACTTCGAGTAATATTCAAGAAAGGGTGTTAAATCGGATATTTTTATTTTTTTCGATGATTTTTGGCTAAAATTGCCCTCCTCGACTCACTAGTTACCCCAGAGGAGCTAGTCCTTGATTTGAAGGACTTTGTTCCAAGAATGGTATTGCCAGTAGCACTTTTGCCATTGCCCGTACGTCCAACTAAAACCAGAGTTTTCCCCATGTTAAAAGTTGGAGTAAACAACCAGTCATTAGCTACCGCACTACCACCCATCATATGAGTGAACCCAAAAAAGTGAATAAATTAATATGCATACTAGAATAAGACCGCAATAAAAACATCACATTCGTTTCATCATGCCAAACATAAACCTGCACTACTACCATGAAAACTAACATCATTGCTATTAGGAAAACTACACGATCTACGAACTTTTTCTTACGGGTGTTCTGCAGTTTTGTTTCATCAAACAAATTATAGATAAGTTGATTCGACAAGATTTTTAACTTGGTTTAGGGTTTTATTCGAGATAATGATATTATAAGAGGTATTGTGTTACCATATTTTACTGTGATTAATAATAAAAGCATGTTTTAAGTTTTCACAAATTATTTAGTTGAGTTAAAATCTATAGAAATGGTTTTTAATTTAACTTTGATGAGTCATAAATGGATCAAGTTACATCGACCTTGTAACTTAGTTGAAACTCCGAGTCAAATTTAAAAGATCATATTTAAATAATTTAAAAAGTTATTATCTAATTAATGCAAGATTTACTTCTTTACGTTATTTACATTTTTTTAACCACACAAATCATAGCTTGTAGTCCCTCGTCCACAATGTCAAGTTATATTCATATCCATGCATGCACGTGTCTTGTGTTTACATTTAGTAGAGTTATATATGGTTCTCACATTAAACATTCCATGTTGCTTGATGTAAGAGACGGACGTAGAATTTCATGTTAGAGGACTTGAATTTATAAAAATTTTAAGTGGGAACATATAAAATTTTAGGGGGCGAAAACATATTTTCAATAAAAATATAAAGAAAAATATATAAAATATATAAGAATTTGAAATTTTTAAGAGACGATCGTTACCGTCTGTCTCCTTCTAGGCTCATCCCTGATGAGGGTTTGGTTAACATGACATGATCATGATGAAGCTAAATATATTTTAGTTTTGTATTATTTATAAAACGTCGTCATCAATTAAAACACATGAATATTAATGGCTGGCATTAGCAGAGATTGATGATGCCAACTGACCAAACTCTTCAAAATGTGTGGTTCCTAAATTCTAATTACCCATTCTAGATGTGAAGAATTTATGTCATCATTCTCTTTACTAATTTTAGGAGCTTGGACTAACTAATCAGAAAGACATGTTGGGGGAGCACCACGGATGGACCTAAAGGAAAATAGGTGAGAGCGATTGTCCTCCTAAAAAATTCATATTTTTATATATTTTAAATTTTTTATTTTTTATTTCTTTATACATTCATTCCTTCTAATATGAAATCTTACATCCGTCCCCTAAAGAGTACCAAAAGATGCTCGAGAAACTATCATATATGGAATTGACCGACAGAACAAAGAAGGTAATTACAATTAAGGTATAATGATAAAAATTTATGTTTATTAAATAGTCATTTTAATTTTTATTTGTTTAGAATATTTTAACTTTTAATATTTTATTTTGGGAAAAAAACTAATTTTTAGATTAAAATTGTTAGTCAACAAACGATTAACACTTTAAAATAAGAATATTTTTATCTTAAAATAAGACATTTGAGACTAAAATGCTTTAAAAATAAATAATAAAAACTAAAATAAATATTTAATCAAACATCGATGGGGTTTGTGTTGGTTGACAGTTTCCTAAACTGCTGTATCCTGTATAGTCGTTGGTGGCATTAAATTGCTGCTTCGTGGAATTGCTAAACTGCTGTTCGTGGGACTAACATTCTTCCACGTTCTATGACATGGATAGTTTTAGGTGGTTTTTATGGTAAAACCACACTATAAATATAAGTTTAACCAAGATCCCTAAATATCAACATATTCCAAAACATTTCCATATTTAGGGAGTTGGAAACCAATACAACATCTAGTGAGATTTTGAGTTCTTATAAGAACTTTGACGGTTCGAATTTTTGTGCATCTAAATTTGGATTGCTTGACGATTATTAGCTATGGTTAAGGGTGATTTGACGTATTGAACGGTGGTGCAACCATATCCCGGATTTTGACATATGATATAAGCATGGGCGGACCCTCCTCTTAGCCCCGTCAATTGTTATAAATATTAATTAATATTAAATATAGAAATTTAAAAAAAATAAAGAAAAATTTACCATGCTCTCAATTAAAAAATTATATTTAAGAAAAATAGAAAATACTTAAACCCCATTTTAATAAATTCTTGGTTCCGCCTCTGAGTGTAGGCAATAACTGAAGGTATTTATAAACGATTTTTTTATTGCGTTTATGTTCGGTGTATACTTACATTTTTTACTCTAAAAATTGAAATATTAAATTACAATACTCCAAAACTGAATGTAAATTAAAATAATTTTTTAATTAAACGTTAATACATTTTCTGAAAGAAGTCCCTTGCCCCCTATTATTGACTGCATACCACTGAGCGCATATCATGTTTTGAATCAAGAACAATATAGACATTAATGTAAATAATTGTAATTGGACCAAACCATGATTTTTGGGTATCATACATAAAATATAATATATTCAATTAGTACTCAAGAGATAATTTTATATACATGAACACCATAGCGATAATTTGCCTTGATCAAGCAGATGGTCGAGATTAAATTTCTTCTCAATGGTATATGTCAAGTGAACTATCAGATCATCACAGTATGTGAAAAGCTCTAAATTATTCCTTAATATTACTTAAAAGTGCTCTAAAGTTAAACAAATGATCTCCCAGATCTGACGGTGGGAAGCCTTTTTACTTCATTTTCTCATTCCTACGTCTCCATGGGACCACTTGCTTAAAGCTTTCATAAATGCTTGCCTGCAGATAAATGTGAAGAGTGTAAAATTCCCAGAAAATTAAGAAACCTAAAGCAGAAAGTTTGACACAGCAAAGAAGATTAAGAAGATGATAAATTGTTTGTTCTATACTTAACGATGGTGAGGAGTTGAACAAAAAATGATGGTCAATGGTGGTTTTGAAACATACTAATACATGTGATCTAGCTTTAGATAGATTCAGAGAACCGGCATTCTTGCTAATCCTTGTGATCTTCACCTCCGTATCTCCACCGTCGGCAACCGGAGTCGAAGAGCTAAAACTTCCCTGAACAACTCGTCCAGATTTTTTAAAGCTCCCCCACCTAGTGGATCCAGACTTAGGTATCTCCTTATTGACCCTCTTGTTGTCCAGGCTCCTCAAAGACCCACTTTTTCGAAACGATAAGGAGTTGGACACAAACCAACACTCATCAGGCCCGTCCAGGAAAGTTGTTGGAGATGGCATGTTAGCAATTTTGGACTCGGCTAACAGCCTCGGAGGCAGTTCCAAGCATCTCGCGGCGTTCGGTTTTGATCGACTGCTTGTATCGGTTTCGTTATCGCTACTTCGATATGGCCGCCTTGGCTTGCCCGGTGCTTCCTCCCACTGGAATGGAATCGAAACTGAGACATGGATCGGCGGTGTTATCATTCCTAACGGTTCTTTCCCCTTACTCGGAAATGAATATAGAGAAAGCTTTGGTGTAGTAGGAGACCTCATTTTTGCATTCCACTGGAATGGAATCATGCACATGATTTTCAACTTTATAAAGAACGAGATCGTGGTGGGTAAAGAGGGTGGCAAGGACTAACAGTGTTGACTCAAGTGGTAATCAGTTTAATATGGTTTAAATAGATATTGAAATCGAGACGTTATATGTAAAAAATCCTCTCCAAATACTTATCCACAAAAAATATGACACGAATTAAATCGGATTATTTAAGACAAAGACAAGAGGAGAACCCGAAAATAGAGGGCGGCAATGAATGTGGACTCATAGAGTCCCACAGCAGTAGCAACAAGGAACGCTCCTGGCGCTTCTTATTCACGAGAAAATGTGATTTATTTATTATTTCTCTTATTTATTGAGGTTAGTGGGAAATTTGTTGCTATAATTTTAGTTCTATGGTTGTTATTTGAAATTTGTAACAATATTTTATCGGGTAAATTACGTTTGTAATTATTTATTTATTTACGTGGTTTTATTTTATTCATTTGTCGTTAAAAAATTAAAAAATAATATTATTTGTCATCACAAGATAATGTTATATATTTATTGAAAAAAATAAAAAGATTTATTATGGCATCATTGAAAAACATTAAATAAAAAGAATTTATATGTTAACAGTTCTATTTATTTTTTAACAATGGGTGATCAAACAAAACAAAAATATAATATTAGGTTTGATTTTAAAAATAATAGAGTATTCAAAACGAAACCGTGAGAATAAGTGGGTGATAAAATATGCAATTTACTCTATTTTATTTATTTCCCTTTTTAATTTTTTGGAATATAAATAAATTGTTGAGTCAATCGATAGGATGAAATAACCAAGAGGGGGTGAATTGGCAAATAAAAATTTTGTGGAAGCATGACAGAAAAATAGAAATAATTTGCACAACGATTTAGAGTGGTTCGACTTTCTCAACCAAAGTCTAGGTCCACTACCTTAGCTATCCACACTAAGGATTTCCACAAATTCACTAATTTATCTTTCTTTTGAGGACAAAGAGTAACCTTACAAATCCCTCAAGAATTATACCCCAAATTCTTGAGACACTCTCTCAAAGAGAAAATTACAAATTTGCAAACTTATAAGAAACCTCACAAGGAAAGATTGTTTGCACAATTCAAGAACAAATAAGAACACTCAAGAAATGAATACAAATAAGCACAAGTAGTGTTCTTTGGACAGCAAAATGAATATGAATGTAACATCCTCAATATCGGGTTAGTGACTAGATTGAAAAATTTCAGAAATTGGTGATTTAAGTAGGATAATTGAATAGTTCAATGATTTATTGCAAATATATGATGAAGGTTATTTAGTAATTATGGAATGAATTAAAGGGTAAAATGGTCAATTGGTAAGTAAGATTTTTATTCTTCCTTTAAAAGAAAAGGGAACCACGTGGAAAGGGAGAGATTTCTCCAGAGTTCTCTTCTTCTCCTTTCTTCTTCTTCTCGTGGAAGCCAAGAGCAAAGGTAAGTTTGATTTAGCTGTTGATTTCTTAAATTTTTAAGTTGGATTTGAGTCTTTGGGGGTTATATAAGCTTAAGGAAAGCTTATATAAGTTTAAAACACCAAGAAGAGAGAATTAGAAAGGAATTTCTATTAAGAGTTTATAAATGAACTTTTGTTATAAAAAGGTTTTTGAAGTTCTAAGGATGAATTTGACTTGTCAAGTGTCTAATTAAGAAGTTAGAAGCAATAGAATTGAATTTGGAACATGTTGAAAATTTAGTGTAATTCTTGAATTACATATGGAGAATAGGATTTTGATGTTAAAGAGGTGATTAAGGAATATAAATGAGTTTGAATATGAGTATGTAAGTTAAGAATAAGAAAGGATATGATATATGAAGTTATTAAGCTGAAAAGAGTGGATTTTCAGGCATAAAAATGAATTATGGGCTATGTGCATCGATGCACATTCAATGTTTACCGATGCATCAAGGGTATTTCCAGAAATTGTTTAGTGTGTATCGATGCACAGGAATGCATCGATGCACCCATTAAAAATGGAAACATCGAATGCAATTAGTGCATCGATGCATAAGGAGTGAATCGATGCACCCCCTTAAAATGAAAACATCAAAGGTGATTTGTGTATCGATGCATGGGTACTGCATCGATGCACATTTTAAAGAATGCATCGATGCACTGTAGAATGCATCGATGCACTTCAAAGGGGAAATAGAAATAGACCTTTCTTTTGGTCTAAGAAATGATAGATTAGAGTATATCAATTGGATATTGATATGTATCAATGTGTGATTATGTAGATATCGAACATGAACAAGTTCTGGAATGATTATCAAGTTAAGATTCGATCGAAATGGAGGAAATCATAAGTGGATTGGAACGTAGTGAGGCCAAGGTGAGTGCATATTAGATCGTATATGATATAAAATGGAAATAAGACTTGCGACAAGTCTATTTCCTATAGTGTTATGCATAAATTCATGAACATGAACATGTGTTTGTTATGAATTATATGTTGTTGTAGGTATAATATGACTTGTATGAATATATGTTTATATAATGAATAATATGCATATGTGATATATGAATATAAGAGATTAAGTGAATGAACATAGATGATATGCAGAATTATATAAGAATAAGATATGATATATATGATTATGAGAAACAATGCAAGTGACTCGAACTATGTGATATGAATATGTGGAATATGATACAAAGTATTGTGATTATATGGTCACAAGAGATAAGAGACAAGTGAAAGTGAACTATGTGATTATATGAATATATGACATGATATATTACTAATTCCCATGTTATGTGTAAAGAGAACTAGAGGTATAGTTGGCATGCCAAGAGTCGAGGGTCTACGCGGTCCTTCGGGACATACAGTGATCCTTCGGGATATTTCATAGTGGTCCTTCAGGACAAATCTCATAACCCCTAGTGGGACCCCATACGAGCTGTGGTGATAGCATAGTACACAACCTCAATAGACTCACATATCTATAGTTCTCAAAAGTATACATGGGTTAAACAAAGAGATAACAATGAATATAGTACTTGTGAAGTATATGTTTTAGTGATATGAATTGTATTATATGATTGATATGATGATGTGTGTATGGTTTGAATGAGTCATATGCTGATAAAAAGGTATGATTAAAGGATATAAATGATAATAATATGGATAATAGAATAAGATTAATGATGGAAATAATGTGTATATGTGTACATTATATTATATATAATGATTGTGTGACATCATGAAGTGATATGTTCATACATGTTTAAGCATTTAGAGTTCCTTTATAAGTTTAATGCCTCACTAAGTCATAGACTTAGCGTGTGATTGTTTCACACGTAGGTTACAGAAGCGAGAAGTGAAGCGAAGAAGAGCAAGACATGTCAGCATCTCCCTTACAAAATTTCAGATCAGAAAATAGATGATTTAAACGTGTTTGGTTAATTTGAATATAGTTAGCATCTACTAATTTATTGAGTTGAATATGTTCTGATAGATTTTGGTTATTTTGGTAAATTATGTAAATAAACCGTTTTTTATTTTAATGAAAGTTTTAAATTTTCTTTGAATTTTGTCAAGAGTCAAAGTTTGAAAAGTTAATGTGACACCTCAGACTCGTATTCGGGTTGGGCTGTTACGTTTAATGGTATCAGAGCTAAGGTTTACCCGATTCTATGCTTAAACTAAAGTTAAATGAGGTTTACAAATGTGTACATGCCAACTAAAAGTGAAAACTTCTGATCTGATAGTGTAAGGAGTATGTTGTCTTGCTAATAGAATAAGAATAGTATGATATTGTAGAAATATGATTGCAATAGTTTTGAAATGAAGTGAGAGTTAAATCTGATTGTAATAGCAATTTACCTACCCTGGCCAGACAGGATGAAGAGTGAACACATTAGGAAATGCCTCGTAAGATCAAAGATCGATTGCAGAAAGTTGAAATCATATTAGAATAGTGATAACAGGTTTTCATTGTTTTGAATCAGAAATGTGATATGGAGTAGTTTTATTATTTCGTGGATAAGATAGAATATGGTGAACAAGTGTCACCATAAGAGCGTTAAAAGATCAAATGATGCAGTGAGAATTGGTCGAAGAGTTCAAGAATAAGTGTATCAGTGACAAACGTATAAAATGTATAAAGTCAGAGCTTATGAGTTCAAAATGAAGGGATAGTATTGTGTATAAGCAAGAGTGTTTATATGATAAGGGTTTGCAGTTAAGACGGAAAGAATTAGTGTTGGCTAACCAGAGTACGTGATAAAACATACTGGAATTATAAGATTATAAGATTATAAGTTATTGTCAGGATATGATAACCAAATATGAAATGGACCTGGACACAGTTGTATATTTGGATCATAGTAATGTGGTATAGTAAAGGAAAAGAAAGTAAGGATTTGTATATTTGAGTAAAGCTAAGGATTGATAAGAAGAGTTTAAGAATAAGTATATCGATGATCAGATTATAAGACAAAGGAAGTCAGAATGTTGAGTCTGAGAAACAGAAATTACAGGATGTATGAGAATAGAGGTGAAATTGATAAGTTAAATAAACTAATTTTTGAGATAATTTCAATTGGAAAGAATGTATATGATTGGTTGACTAGGGCTTGTGCCCTAGATTGAACATATGTTATTGACTAGTTGTCAGAGTAAAGGTGATAGAGTTATAAGATTGGAGGAAAAGATAAAGTGAGTTAATTGATTATTATGTGAATCTGAATATAGTTGTGTATTCTGATCAGATAACTATGATGTAAAAAAAAGGAGATAAGTATTTGATGGAACCTTAAGGAAGTAAAATATAAGTATAGTAATTGATAAAGAATGAAATTCTATATAAGTAAATGGGTTATCAAAGTTATGAGGATGCAATGAAGATTGATACATAGAGATGAGTATAGGTGATAAGACAAGAGTATGTGAACATGAAAGGAAATATATGATTTGGGTATAAGGAATAAATAAAGGAATAATGGAATAAAGAAAT